AGGTCCTGCAAATTTCCTGTCCCAATTCTTCAGCAGAGGCCATTAACACGGGTTCCTATTCCAAATCCTGGCCGAAACACCCCATTTAGCATGCGAGAACGCCTGATTACAATGTACAATTAACACCAGTCTCCACACATTAATTCAACATGGCGTCTCCCTCGCGTTCCTACTGGCTCTTCCACATCCCCCTTCACTTAAAATTTCTCGAAGGGTCCAAATAGCATCACATTTTAATACGCAATTATTATGCTATTCATTTTGTCCTACAGTTAGGAAATTATGTAATAAAAATCCACAAATAGTAACAATAATAACAATCCCTAATGTAGGGATTAACGTAAACTCAGCATATGTGCACTGAGAGACATATAATCTCACAGTGTACTATATATATATATATATATATATATATATATATAATATATATATATATATATATATATATATATATATATATATATATATTATATATATATATAATTAATATATATATATATAATTCTGTCCCGTCACATCAAAGAATGATAGCATTTAGCTAAGAGAGGTTCAGAACCTCTTCTCGAAGCTGCGTATCATGGTTACAGCAACACTTTAAATCAACAGGACGCGGAAATCGAAGCAACACCAGGCCTGGTCTCCACTCTCGTCTCAGAGCTGTGAAAACATTGCAACACTTTGGATCAACAGGAAACATTGAGTGAAGCATGAGTGACGGGGAGGGGGGAGGGAGAGACACGTGAGTGTCAACACGGTACAAACAAGGCCAGTCATCACTGTTGACTCCCTCCACTCATGTCATACTGATGGCTCAGTCCTCCCCGCCACTCCATGCTACAAAGTAAAGTAACTGGAACCTGTCAGACAGCAGCAGATGGTCAATATACATGGCAGCAAAACCCGAGTATCAAAAAATATAGATCAAATATATATAATCTTTAATTTTTAAAGGTGTGGACGGGTAAGCCAGTAGTAGACCTCGGTCAGATGACCAAGAGCTCCACTTGCGGGTCACCATATGGCCAAGACCTGCGTCAGGAGACGTTTCTCCTATTTCCTGACGCATCTTTCCTAACGGTACAGGTGATGTTTAACCAGTTAAGAGGCCATCACGTGATTAAGGTCCGTGGCAGGAGACACTGTTGTTTCCTGACGGGGAAACCACTACCACCTCTATAAATGCTCTGTTAGGGTTCTAGTAAGAGTATCATCATCCTAGGATACACTGTAGTGATCCTCCATTGTTATTTTAAGGGAATAAGAATCTAGATCAGGTAGGACAGCGGAGGCCTACCAGTTAGTAGTTAAGAAAATTGGGGAATGGGAAAGAAGACCAGAAACGGAGTATAGTCTCGGGGAGACAGGCTACAAACCTTACTCAGGAAGGACTTTCGAGTGAGCATAATGCCGAGCATATCGCCAGAGGCACACATTAATCGAATAACCTCTGCAGTCAAATGATAATATACAAAATACTGTGAGGACATGGTAGATGCACAAGTATAGTTTGTTCAAGAGGTGGAAAACAGGTACACAAGAGCACAATTAATAATTAAAATACACAGCCACGGGGATGTCGGAAAGTATTTAACCTCAGGATGGTCAGGAAGTGGAAAGAACTGGACGGGAAAGTGGTGGAGGAAGGCTCCATGCATATCTTTAAGAATAGGTATGACGGGACCTGCAAGCCTAGGAGTAAACCTAACAAATGGCAAGCTAAGAGGCAGGGCCAGGAGCTGAAACTCGACCCCTTATAACCACTATTAAGTGAGGACTCTATGTGGGTGTGAGATGAACACAGTGACTCACGTCAAACCAAGTCATCAACATCTAATGACTGCTTCCCTCCAAGACGCTACCTGCACACTCACTCACTCACTCAAGTGGTTTAATCCCAACCAGCCAGTATTTTTTTTCCTCCATCCATTCTTATCTTGCTGTGCGAAAGTGAATCTGGTAATTGACAGCCTGGAAGCTAATCCAGAGATGAAGTCAGCAGAAAATGAGATGTGGAGGAAATGTTGAGGCGGAAGGAGTGGGAGAGGAGAGTACCAGGGTAGAATACCAGGGGAGAGTACCAGGGGAGAGTGCCAGGGGAGAGTACCAGGGGAGAGTGCCAGGGGAGAGTGCCAGGGGAGAGTGCCAGGGGAGAGTACCAGGGGAGAGTACTAGGGGAGAGTACCAGGGGAGAGTACCAGGGGAGAGTACTAGGGGAGAGTGCCAGGGGAGAATACCAGGGGAGAGTACCAGGGGAGAGTTAGAGAAAAAGTCTACCACTCAATCACAGCATCACCACAGAGCCACAGCACCCCCACAGAACCACAGTACCATTACAGAACCACACCACCACACAACCAGAGCACCACTACAGAACCTCCATAGAACCACAACACCGCCACAGAACCAAAGCACCACCACAGAACCACAGCACCACCACAGAACCAAAGCACCACCACAGAACCACAGTACTACCACAGAACCACAGCATCACCACAGAACCACAGCACCTTCACAGAACCACAGCACCACCACAGAACCACAACACCACCACAGAACCACAGCACCACCACAGAAACAGCACCACCACAGAAACACAGCGCCACCACCACAACATCTCCACAGAACCACAGCACCACCACAGAAACACAGCACCACCACAAAACCACAACACCACCACTACAGCACCACCACAGAACCTCCACAGAAACAGCACCACCACCACCGCGCCACCATACAACCACAGAACTACCACCACAGCACTACCACAGAACTACAGCACGACCACCACAGCACCACCACCACCACCACAGCACCACCACAACCACAGCACCACCACCACCATAACACCACCACCACAGCACCACCACCACCACAGAACCTCCACAGCATCCAGTTGGTCAGCAATGTGAAAGTCTTGACAAGTGATATGACCAGCCCCGCCCCCTGTGGTCATTAGCCCTGCTCCATGTTAAGTCGTTAGCCCCGCCCTTGTTGGTCATTAGCCCCGCTCCCTGTTAAGTCGTTAGCCCCAGCCCCTTGTTGGATCTTTAGCCACGCCCCTTTTGGTAATTAAACCCGCCCCTTGTTAGGTCATTAGTCACTCCACCTGAGTCATTAGCCACGCCCCTGTTGGTAATTAACTCAGCCCCTGTTAGATCGTTAGTCACGCCCCTTGTTGGTAATTAGCCACGCCCCTGTTGTTCATTAGCCCCATTGAGTGGGCAATGACATTCATTTATGTGAGTGGGCAGTACCACCCATGTGAGTGGGCACTGTCACTCATGAGTGAGCAATGCCACTCATGTGAGTGAACAATGCCACTCATGTGAGTGAGCAATTCCACTCATGTGAGTGGGCAGTGCCATTCATGTGAGCGGACAGTGCCACTCATGTGAGTGGGCAGTGCCACTTATGCGAGTGGGCAATGCCCCTCGTGCGAGTGGGCAGTGCCACAATGAAGACTGTCGTGAATCTCGGCCCAGTTAGTTGACACTCTGTTGGCGGTAACGACTCAAGACGAGGAGGACTACTGGGCTAATATTCAAGATAGGAGTTAAGTTGATCCACTTTCATACACTGAAACTATTGCACACTGTGTGTGTGTGTGTGTGTGTGTGTGTGTGTGTGTGTGTGTTACCATTTTGTCCTAGGCACATGTCGATTAGACACTAGGCCTGTTGTTGTATATGTGTGTGTGCATGTGTGTGTGTGTGTGTGTGTGCCTTGGTGTGTGTGTGTGTTTGTGTGTGTGTGTGTGTGTGTGTGTGCGCGCGCGTGTTGGTGTGTGTGTGTGTGTGTGTGTGTGTGTGTGTGTGTGTGTGTGTGTGTGTGTGTGTGTGAGTTACCATTTTGTCCTAGTTAGTTACCATTTTGTCCTAGGCACATGTCGATTAGACACTAGGCCTGTAGTATATGCGTGTTAGTTACCATGTGTGTGTGTGTGTGTGTGTGTGTGTGTGTGTGTGTGTGTGTGTGTGTGTGTTGTGTGTGTGCGTGTGTGCTGTGTGTGTGTGTGTGTTGTGTGTGTGTGTGTGTGTGTGTGTTTAGTTACCATTTTGTCCTAGGCACATGTCGATTAGACACTAGGCTGTAGTATATGCGTGTTAGTTACCATGTGTGTGTGTGTGTGTGTGTGTGTGTGTGTGTGTGTGTGTGTGTGTGTGTGTGTGTGTGTGTGCGTGTGTGTGTGTGTGTGTTAGTTACCATTTTGTCCTAGGCACATGTCGATTAGACACTAGGCCTGTAGTATATGCGTGTGTGTGTGTGTGTGTGTGTGTGTGTTGTGTGTGTGTGTGTGTGTGTGTGTGTGTGTGTGTGTGTGTGTGTGTGTGTGTGCGTGTGTGTGTGTGTGTGTGTGTGGTGTGTGTTAGTTACCATTTTGTGTGTGTGTGTGTGTGTTTAGAGAGTACACTAAAACAATACTTCAGTGTTAACAAGGTTAAGCTCTCTTATCAAGTGCATTGTGTGTTGGTGACTGTGTTAGCCAGGCTGGTGACTCCTTCACCATGAAGGAGAGAAATCTCAGAGCTGTGGTTGCAACACTTCACAAGTTATCATCACATTTAAGATGGGTATAAATGATGTTTCAGTCCATCTTGGATCTTTATGAAGCTACTCTTACCCCTGTCCCTGCCTTGCTCATGACATGATCCCTGTCCCTGCCTTGCCCATGACATGATCCCTGTCCCTGCCTTGCCCATGACATGATCCCTGTCCCTGCCTTGCTCATGACATGATCCCTGTCCCTGCCTTGCCCATGACATGATCCCTGTCCCTGCCTTGCCCATGACATGACCCCTGCCTTGCCCATGACATGATCCCTGTCCCTGCCTTGCCCATGACATGACCCCTGCCTTGCCCATGACATGACCCCTGTCCCTGCCTTGCCCAAGACATGACCCCTGTCCCTGCTTTGCCCATGACATGACCGCTTTAGTTAACCTGTCACTGCATTTCTCGTGCCCTTGTCTTGTTCCTGAGAGGAAGAGTATGGTACTTACGATTGCTTCAGTGTCCAGGTAGTTGATGAAGACTTGCAGGGTGACCACTGGCAAGGCGTGACGAGTGTCCTACACTCACTTTACACTGCTATACACTGTCACAAGCACTTAGCATCACCAGTCCCTCACAGATTCAGCAAGGCTCACCATTTCATAAGTTTAGCGACTTCCATCACTAGTCTTGGCAATATTTATCAAAGTTACAAGTTCCGAAAAATTTGTAATTGATTGTGTTTCAATAACTTTTCAAGGCGCGAATTTAAACAGTATTTTTGTCTTAATGACGAGTTCTTTGCTCTTTCTGTAAAAGGTCTTAACACACTGGCACTGCTTGTCAGTCGTGGGATTAGGATATTGTCGTCACTACACCAGGCAGTGGCTGTAAGACGACTGGTGTCGTTCCATTTCTAGCTGCTGGTAAGTCGAGTGCTTGTGCAGGTAGCGTGGTAGAGCACGCGTATCGTTGCCACCACAATCCGCTTCGAACTGAGCCACTACGGCCACCATAACAAAACTTTCCCCCTAGGTGCGCTCACTGCCAGTCGACGCGAGAGGACTTCCAGAGAGAGGCAGGCGGGGGTCTAAGGCAGGCCAATTCAAGGTGTGTGGTGGTGTAAGAGACGCTGGGGTTTACGATGCCAGGTCAATGAAGGTATGTGTGTGGTACTAGGACCGTGTTCTAGGTTGCTGTTGCAGCAGCAGTGCCTTCTCCAGGTATGCTGAGCGAGGTGGTTGGTGGCTTGTCTTGTGCCCCGCCCCGCTAGCACACTCTCGCCCAATCACATAACCCACAAGTTTTTCTTCTACCCTCTCGTTCTCTGACGGCCTTACCTAACCTCGATCATATCTTACTATCTTCACTTTCAGCACTTCTCATTCCTCGTATTTATTCTCAATGTTAAGTATATTTTTACACACGTCTCGCCCTTATTAAAAGTCCACGACTGACATACATCCATCTCGTGGGAAAGCTTCCCTGCGTGTTTCTTAAAGTTATTTACAAAGCGTCTTACTTTCTACATTGGGGGATCTGGGAAACATTTTTCATAAAACATGGGGTATATGTCACCAAAAAAAATATTTTTCAACGTGTATGCACTGAGAGGTTCATCTGCGTGCATATACACCAACTCAGCGTTAAGGATTACCTTAACGCTGAGTTGGATTAAAATAAACTTGATGAGTAGAAACAAGGTGAGTGTTGCCTAGAGATACTGGCCGTCGAAAGGACTTAAAAATAAATAAGCACGGTCAGCGAAAGGCTTAATGCAGTAATGACTGGTTGTCTATAGAGTCTATAGATCTCAAACATTAATGATCCCGTAGGTGTCCCGTCTCGATTGCTCGCGCACTCAGCTCATACACTGAGGTCAGGGGGTCGATCCCCGGTACGGGTGGAAACATTATGACGTGTTTCCTTAAGGTCTGTTTTCTACGAGGATAATAATAATAATAATCCTTATTTATACAAGTACATGTACAAGGTATACAGGCCTAGCTGACATCAATGACATATTACTGTAGAGACAACCCCTTGTTATGCAGATCATTTCGGGCAAATTATGACAGTTTTGTCCCCAGGATACTGCCAACACTAGTCGGCTAACACCCAGGTGCCTATTTTATTGATAGGTGAACATGGATAGCAGGTGTCTTCAATATTAGTAGCCAAATCGACACCTCACCGCCTATCTTTAGATGAAATGGCGGCGTCTAATTTGGCTTTCATACCTGGAATATAAAATACACAGTAAGAACTGGAAACCGGTCTTCTTTGCTCCCTTCACACCGGGTGTTCTCTGGGTACATGACACGGCCGTGGGCTCCCTTCATACCGGGTGTTCTCTGGGTACATGACACGGCCGTGGGCTCCCTTCACACCGGGTGTTCTCTGGGTACATGATAGGTAAAGATTTTCCCTCCAAAGCGGCTAGTTTATTGTGACCCTCATTAGGAAATCTGCTTAATATGTCTGGTATCCGGGTATATGGTAGAGTCCAGAGTCCAGGCCTTGGCTAGACCACCTCTGATAAAATCCAGTCTTGGCCTGGACTTTGCTAGTGTATTACAATAACATGATGAGTGATGTGTAAATACAGACCTCTGAAGACGACAACGTACATATCAAGGAAACGACTTTTGTGGACACCCTGAATTCATATATATTTACTTTTAAAATGAAATTTACAGGCTGAGAGCTGTTATCGTACCTCAAATCAGTTCAAAATCCAGCGCTCTATATACTACCACCCTACAGGATGCTACCCACAACAGTCGATTAGCATCCTGGTACTTGTTCACTGTTAGATGAACATGGAGCATGTCCCGGGAATCGAATCCAATTTTTTTCAATTGTGAGCTGAACTCTCTACCACTGATCTATTGGTCGCCTTGCTGAACAAAAATTTTGATATTCTTTATTGGAAAAAAAACGAAAAAAGGAATTTTGTAAGAAATCTGTTGATTTGTAAGACAACTGTTGTTTTAGTATGGAACTGTTGTTTTTAGTAAGACAACTGTTGTTTTTAGTAAGACAACTGTTGTTTTTAGTAAGACAACTGTTGTTTTAGTATGGAACTGTTGTTTTTAGTAAGACAACTGTTTTAGTAAGACAAATGAGTACAGAAAGATTAGTATCTGGATACTTATTTGTTGTTAAGTGAACCGAGACAGCAGAGATTTGTCCACACGCCTCACCCTACCGGTATTGAACTTGTGTCACTTCGATAGTGAGCCGAAGGCTCTGAGAACACGATAAAAAGTGTTGATAAATCTTGCAAAAACAAATTGTTGGTGCATCGTGCACAAGATGACAATGTTAAAAGGAGAATCACATTTTTATAAACACGCTTGAAAGAGTGCAGAGGAGCTGAGTCTAGTAGACCTCATTCCCACCCCACGCAACTCAGCTCGTTGAGTGCAAATCGGAGAGCTATTGGACACACACACTGCAACAACTGAACACACACACACACTGCTCACCGACAACATTGAAGACCATCACACTCCGCACAACTGAAGACCACACTGCAAACAACCTGAAAGTACACACTGCAACAAACCTGAAGACCACACGCAACAATGAAGACCACCTGCAACAAGTTGAAGACCACACTGCAAAACACTGAAGACCACACTGCAACAACTTGAAGACCACACTGCAACAAACCTGAAGACCACACTGCAACAACCTGAAGACCACACTGCAACAACCTGAAGACCAACTGCAACAACTTGAAGACCACACTGCAACAATTGAAGACCACACTGCAACAATTTGAAGACCACACTGAACAACCTGAAGACCACATCTGCAACAACTTGAAGTCCAACATGCAACACTTTGAAGACCACACTGCAACAAGCTTGAAGACCACACTGCAAAATTTGAAGACCCACTGCAACAACTTGAAGACCACAAACTGCAACAACTCTGAAGAACCACTGCAACAACCTGAAGGACCACACTGCAACAACCTGAAGACCACACTGCAACAATTGAAGACCACATGCACAACTTGAAAGAACCACACTGCAAAAACTGAAGACCACACTGCAAGCAACTTGAAGCCACACTGCAACAACTGAAGACCCCCACTGCAACACACCTGAAGATACCACACTGACAAACAATCTGAAGACCACACTTTGCAATGTACTGAAGACCAACTTAGCAACAACGTAAGACCACACTTGCAACACGCTTTAAGACCACTGAACAACTTGAAGACCACACTGCAACAATTGAAGACCACACTGCACTAACTTGAAGACAAACCTGCAACCAACTTGAAGACACTACGCAGAACAACTGAAGACCAACTGCACACTGAAAACTGCAACAACCTGAACACACTGTACAACTGAACTGCAACAACGTTGAAGACCAACTGCAACAACCTGAAGCCACATCAACACTGTTCAACAACAACTGAAGACCACACTGCAACAACTAAGACCACACTGCAACAAGCTGAAGACCACACTGCAACAACTTGAAACACATGCAACAACTGACAACTGACATAAAGCACACAACTAGCACACTGCAACAACTGAAGACCACACTGCAACAACTTGAAGACCACACTGCAACAACTTGAACAACTCAACAATGAGACCACACTGCAACAACGTTGAAGACCACACTGCAACAAACCAATGAAACAACCAGCAACAACTGAAGACCACACTGCAAAATGAAGACACACTGCAACAATGAAGACCACACTGCAACAACTTGAAGACCACACTGCAACAACTCGAAGACCACACTGCAACAATAAGACCACACTGCAAACTAACCTGAAACGACACACCAACTAAGACCACACTGAACAACTGAAGACCACACTGCAACAACTGAAGACCACACTGCAACAACTTGAAGAACCACACTGAACAACAAACACATGAAGACCACACTAGCAACAACCTGAAGACCACACTGCAAACAACTGAAACCACACTGCAACAACCTGAAGACCACACTGCAACAACTGAAGACCACACTGCAACAAGTTGAAGACCACACTGCAACAACTTGAAGACCACACTGCAACAACCTGAAGACCACACTGCAACAACTTGAAGACCACACTGCAACAACCTGAAGACCACACTGCAACAACCTGAAGACCACACTGCAACAACTTGAAGACCACGACTGCAACAACCTTGAAGACCACACTGCAACAACTGAAGACCACACTGCAACAACTTGAAGACCACACTGCAACAACCTGAAGACCACACTGCAACAACTTGAAGACCACTCAAACTGAAACAACACTTGAAGACCACACTGCAACAACTTGAAGACCACACTGCAACAACCTGAAGACCACACTGCAACAACCTGAAGACCACACTGCAACAACCTGAAGACCACACTGCAACAAGCTGAAGACCACACTGCAACAACTTGAAGACCACACTGCAACAACCTGAAGACCACACTGCAACAACTGAAGACCACACTGCAACAACCTGAAGCACACTGCAACAACTGAAGACCACACTGCAACAACTGAAGACCACACTGCAACAACTGAAGCAATGCAATGAAGACCACACTGCAACAACTGAAGACCACACTGCAACAACCTGAAGACCACACTGCAACAACTTGAAGACCACACTGCAACAACTTGAAGACCACACTGCAACAACTTGAAGACCACACTGCAACAACTGAAGACCACACTGCAACAACCTGAAGACCACACTGCAACAACTTGAAGACCACACTGCAACAACAACTTGAAGACCACACTGCAACAACCTGAAGACCACACTGCAACAACTTGAAGACCACACTGCAACAACCTGAAGACCACACTGCAACAACTTGAAGACCACACTGAACAACTTGAGACCACACTGCAACAACTTGAAGACCACACTGCAACAACTTGAAGACCACACGCAACAACTTGAAGACCACACTGCAACAACTTGAAGACCACTGAACAACACTGAAGACCACACTGCAACACAACTTGAAGACCACACTGCAACAACTTGAAGACCACACTGCAACAACTTGAAGACACAAAATGCAAACAACTGAGACCAACACAACAACTTGAAGACCAATGCAACTGAAGAAAAACTCTGAAGACCAAACAAAACTTGGACCAAAAACAACTTGAAGACCACAACTGAAACAACAACTTGAAGACCACACTGCAACAACTTGAAGACCAACAACAACTTGAAG